GGATATGGAAATTTTGGTTGCAGAGTGCCTCTGCAAACTCTCTTGCTGTAACCTGTGCTTCTTTGAATCCAGTTTCTCTGTATTTCACTAAAGTCTCGTGTGTTGTTTAGTAAGGTAAGTGTTGAGTCAAGCTGCATCGTTGGCTCTGCATTATTTTGCTTACATTTGAGATTTTAACATTGTCATGCCAGATTACGACAGATGTTAGAAACTGGAAGCTGGATATTTCAGAGGCTTCACTTTTAGCTTTTGGATCTCTGGCTTCAGAAACTTCCTCAGATTGATATCTCAATGTTTTTACACTTTCTATTCTGCTTTCTCAGCGTGTCTCGGATAGGGGCTTAACAGTAATACCACTGACATGTGCTTTGAATATTTGCTATAGTTGAGTGGAAGCTGAAAAGAGCAGGTAAATGCGTTGCAGCAAACCAAAAAAAGAAATAGCTTCTACAGAAGACTTGGCCATATCAAAATCAAATTAAGGCTGTGGCATGCACACGGAACAAAAAAAGCTCATGGATTTTCCACCAGCAATCTAGCTTTCACACCAGAAATATATCCTCTCATATTGGCGCCATTATTGTAGTCTTGTCCTCTAATGTTCATTATGGACAATACCATTCATTTTAGTTCATCATGGAGAGCTTGAAGAAGTCCAAAATCTGTAGTGTCCTCTACTTCTAAAAATGTGATAAATGATTCCTTAACTGGAATCTGTGCTGAATAACTAATGTCGACAAATCTCACTACTAACATTTGTTCTTAATGACTTATGTCTGGAGTGCAAGCTAGAATTACAGCAAAATATTTTGCCAAAGAAACCAATGAAACAATTTTGTCTCTCACTTTACCACTCATTAGCATGATCAGTTCATTTTGAATTCTTGGTCCCAAATAGTGGTCAAGTATTTCATTTTCAGTTACTCTTCGGAGATGTTCATTCATCACTGTGTCAAATTTTCCCAGCAGTTGTACAAGGCCCCAAAAATTTGCCATTTTTGGGCTGGTATAATTTGTCAATGCTTCCTCTAAAAGCAAGATTGTTTGTCAATAGATATTCAACAATAGATAATAGACGTTCAAGAACACGACACCAATGGTGCTTCTCTGACTCCAGCAACCTTTGATTTTTGGGAATCAAGAGTTGTCTGATTTTTTTTTTTTTAACCTTACAATCAGCTCACGCCATTTGTGCATACTTTCAATGTGGTGTTGTGCCTTTTCACAGTGCGGTAATGTGTGACTAAGATTTTGCCAATCATTAATACCCATGGTTGCTATGTTAAAATTGCAACTGTTAAAAATCTTGCATGGGAAACAAAATACAGCATCCTTGCATTTAGAGTATACAAGCCACCGTCTGTTGACAATTTCACCATTAGAAAATCTTTTGTAGTAATTGTTTTCTGTGAATTTCCTACCTCTAATGTCTTTAGGATATTTGAGACCTTCTATTCCCCCAGGGCCTTTCTCAAGTATAATGTCACGTAATTTGTTGTTGAAAGATTGCAACCATGTGCCAATGTCATCTATATCCCCTGCTAGTACAGTTTCAACTGTTGTAATTTCTTGTTTTGTGTCTGCATCTGTTTCAAATGATCCATGTTATGAAGTTCAAGAAACTCAACAACTGCATAAATTTTTTCTTTGGCAGTTACTTCATGATCTTGAGCAACTTTGTTGTTTTCATGACATACAAACTTAAGTACAGAACCCTTCTGTGCTTGTATGGCTAATTCTATTTCATCTTTTCATTTTCTTTTTTGTGACCCAGAAAGTTGTTTTTGATTCGACATAACTTATAAGGGTGGTTTTTTTTAAAGAAATAACTGTTTAAATTATTGTCAGGTTATCAGAAATATTATTTAAAATAACTAACATAGGATAGCCGGGAGTCTGTGACCTTGAGGTAGTGTAGACACCCCTCACAAGGCACTCCATCCTGACTGAGACACAAGAGAACTGGAAACCCATATCATTTTTACAAAGTCACTTTTTAGTTTTAAATGTGTAGTGGGCGTCAGTCTTAATGTTAGTTACAACTCTTTATCAACCTTATACTGTAAATAGATCAATGGCATTATCCAGTTTAATAAGTTGGGTTTCCAAGCAGCGGGAAAATAGGATCCTAGTTTTATTCCTAGGTAAAGCACAAAGTGACCCTAATGAAGCCAGCACAGAATCATCTCATCTAGATTAAGGTAGGACAGAAATGTTACAGAAGTCCTATCCACTAAAATTAGTGCAGCATGGGCAGAGACAAGCTAATTTCTTTTTCCAACCTAATGTGTCCTTGTTACAGAAGGGCCCTCTCCAGGTTTTGTCACTCATCCTTTCTGATAAACAAGGTCAATTATGACGCTGAACTTCCATCACCAGTTCATTTTACATAGACAACTGAGTAATCAGCGGATAACTTTTGATCACTTGCAATCTTGACTGCATATGAACTGATTAATCTGTTTGCCTTACAATAATTTTTGCAGATGACCTTCTTGTAATGGCAGGTTTGGCTAGCCATTACAATGACTGTCCAATGGTGAAGAAAGACTTCCTAGAAGTAGGGTTGGGGTTTTTTTCCTTCTTCTCTAGAGCTGTGCATGAACCATCCATGAAATCCCACAAAGTCTCCAAAACTTCAACATCAGCATCCTTTTTCACAGACTTTTTTTCCTTCTTCACCAATATCTACTCTGCTCCTTGAAAACCCAGCTTATTAAACTGGATAATGCCATTGATCTATTTACAGTGGGGGCTCTCAACCTTTCCAGACTACTGTACCCCTTTCAGGAGTCTGATTTGTCTTGTATACCCCCAAGTTATCTGAGGGGGGATATTGAGGGACTGGGGAGGGGAAAGCGGAGGCTCCACTGAAGGTGGTCCCCAGCTGGCACCGCTGACCCCAGTGTGTCAAGGGGGCACAGCCACCACCCTTGCCCATGGACCCCCAGGAAAACACCCCAAGCCCCCCATTGCTGACACACACCAAGCTTCATATGCAGCAGATGCTGCAGCAGTCCGGGCTCGCAGCCCAGAGGGGGAGGGACGAGGCAGCAGAGGATACTGAGCCGCCCAGCCGGCCTCATGGCAGCGGAGAGCCATAGTTCCCCGCAGAGACACCCGTACACTCTCCCTCATGCAGAATGCGCTGTGCTGGCACGTTCGGCTCTGTGAATATGGCCCCTGCCGAAGGAGACTGCAGCACACGCTGGGTGTGCGGGAGCCAACCCGCTCTTACCTCCTGTCCCAGTGGTGCCCCAAATTTTCAGGTGCCCTATGCAGACGTGTATGCTGCGTATGCCTAAGGACAGCCCTGCATCTCAGGAACCTCCTGCAGACACAACTGGCAGCTGGGTACGTAAAGCTCCAAGTCCATTAGTGAGAGGACCGGTTGTTTCTGCTAGAAGCTCAAGGTGGGGCTGCTTAAAAGGAGCTGCCGGAAACATCCTATTGGCTGCAAGCTGTCTGTGTTTCTGTTTGAACCCGGGTGAATATATTTTAGGTTGGGATTAAACTGTGCAGGTTTTCCCTAAGTTTAAGTAGTTGCCATGCTGGCCTGCCACAGGATCACAATATCTGGTGAACAAATGTGGTGGAACCCACACAAAGAATAATCAACACTGCCCAAAGGGCTTTCCTCTTCCAGGGGTATGTCTACATCACAAATTAAGGTGAAATTGTTGTGCAGGTATGGCTACACATGCTAACTTTAATCTAGCGAGTGTGGGCAACGGTAGCAGTGAAGGTGTGATGTCCTGGACCCTGGCGCTGACTAGACGCCTGAGCAAATACCCCAGGGTTCCTCACAGAGCTGTACCGAGTTGGCTAGCTCACACTGATGCCTGTGTTGCCATGTCTTCACTGCTACTGTTACCTGTGCTAGCCAGATTAAAGCTAGCACAGGTATGCCTACCGGTGCTAGGATTACACCTTAATTTGTAGTGTAGGACCTTTCCATTCCAAAATGCTCTACACAAGTGAAATCCGGCCTACTCTCAGGGGGAAGGGGGCAACCAATTGTAGCAGTAACTATGTAGTGCATGTGATATCTTTCTCTAGACCTAGTGTATTTCCAGTCTACACGATTATCTTTAGGTTAAAGGAATACAAAGAGCAATAACAAAGTCTCCTCCATGAGAGCGAAGAACATTCTTCCTCCTCTGGAACAGCTGACCTGAATGTAAAAGGGCAGTTAAACACCAGGGACGTGTAGAATTTTAAAAGCACCGCACACACAGAAAACAGAACCATCAATTACACAACAGCGGTGAGGGAAATTTTATCTCACCATAGCGTGGGCAATTCCCTAGGCATACAAAAGTACCGACTGCTTTTTTTTTTTTTTTTTAATTAGCTGAAGAAAACAAGGCCCTTCTCTCAACCTCCTGTCCTTTCTCTTTGTCTGGCTGTATGTAAGATACTCACTTTTAAATTGCTCATGTGATCAATGCCAACATTTCAGGGCCTGTTTCTGGAAGGAAGGGGCCAGCCCATGCTGTGGCTGTTCTGCACCAACCTGACAGCCCATCAAGGGCTGTCACAAGCCACTGCAGCCCATCAAGGGCTGTCACAAGCCACTGCAGCCCTAAGTCCGCGGGCTCCGGAGTGGGCTGCGGGCAGGACAGAGAGGGAGCTGGGTGGATGCCCTGGTGTCCTTCCTGGCCGTACAGTGGAATTAGCTGGGTGTTGACCTGCTCTTTCTGCCATCTCTGCCCCAGGCAAACAAGCCTCATGGAAATACGGGAAGTCAATGAGTGTCGTGAACGGCCCCGTGGCACTAACTGCTCTCGAGCAAGAACCGCGCAGGCAAAACCTGCTGCTGCTTGCCAAGGCACCCCGGGACGGCAGCAGGCGGGGGCCCGGCCGGCCGGGGTGAAAGCTCCCCCAGCCCGGCTCGGGGCGGGCTCCGGCTCGGCTGGGGGGGGGGGAGCCCGCTGCCTTTGTCTGGGGGCCGCCGAGGCAAACCCCGCCCCTTCCTGACAGAAACCCGCCCCCTGCTGCCCAGCCTCGCCCGCCGCTGCCACAGCCGCCTCCGGCAGGTGCTGGCGCCCGCGCCCGGAGCTGGCCGCAGGTAGGTGAGTGGCTGCGCCCCGGGCTCTGCGGCGCGGCTGTGCCCGGGACGGGAGCCCGGCGGCCGGGCCGGTGCCACGCGCGGGCGGCCTCTGTGGGGGCTTAGAAGATGTTGCTCCCCTTCCCCCCCCCCCCCCCCCCCCCCCCCCCCCCCCCCTTCCC